GTTATGGGACACCCTGTATATATTATCATATCACGCAAACGGTTTCTGTATAAATTGTACAAAGTTCATACTCTAACGAGATTAGTCATTAGTTATTAATTTATACGCCGTATCGATTCAACCCGTATCACGTAAGCGAGAGACACTTAGGGTATCTCATTGTATTCTATGTTATATATACCACCTGACATCTGTGAGAATGTGAATCGCTAAAAATGTGCGCTTCCAAGCTGTCGATGCTGTACCAATATGAAGTGCGTTATTCTCGAACGCGTACCTGATTCCGATTTTATCGGATATTCCCGTCGTTGCCGCGGTTTAATTGATTTGCGAAATGGGCGGAGATCATAATTGCAAATCATCAACTTTTTTCAACAGTCTCGTTTGTTATTACATTGTAATGACTACCGGAAAATAACGATTGCGTAAGATTACAGGAATGAAAGTATAAAAAAAACTTGTTGAAACAAATTTGATAACACAAGACACGACTTGCAAAGATCCGAAGGTTCTTGTATTTATATAAGAAATTTGAGACTATGTATTCTTTTTTCCATTTATTTTTCAGCTTCCTTCGCGGTGAAACTTTAGACGGAAAGTGCAACGAAGTACATTTGCATTCATAATGAACGACTTATTGAAAGTTTTTTTTTTGCATTGTGTTCCAAGAAGGAATGCATATTATCAGACTTGTGAAATGTTATTGTCGTCTTTCTCTCCTTTGAAGCGCACATTTTTAATACAATAAGAGTATACGTCGTGTCTGTTTGCGGCAATCCACGGCGTCGCGTTTACGGACGATTCGGGCCAACGTTTCTCGCGCGGTTTTTCGTAGACGGATTTTAGGATAGAGCTGAAACCAATCCAGGAGATGTATATCAGCGAATCAAATATTTACTACCAAAATGGTTGGAGGATTTCATTTTTAACGACCTTATTTGCATCTATGCAAATATATTGAGAATGCGATCCGCATACATTTTGAGTATACTTCGTATTTAGCATTTAGCTGAGAGCGTAGCATAGCTGTCTTGTGCGAATATAATTATCCGAATGAAAATAAAACCAAAAAAATTACAAATTCGCCAAGGAGTCTCTGTATCCGTCTACGTTGAATGGCTCGATCGGCCCACGGCTGATTTGGAGAAAGTGCTGTTTAAACTCCCGTTTAATCCGTAATCCGCGCAGCTCCTTGACATGTACATACACAACCGAAACATTTTGTACGCATTTCTTTCTCTTATTTTTTTTTTTTTTTTTTAAAGTAAGATCCCGTCGAGATTCGGATTCCTTTCAACCGCGATAGCGCGCTACGCGGAGGCGAGGCTCTCCAACGTCCCGAGCGATGACCCTCTTTCTTTCCTCCTCGTAACGATGCCGTCGCGGGAAGCGTGGGCGTGGCTTTCCTTTGTATACGCGAGTATGCGACTAACTTATTAATTATGACTTTCGATTAAGTGACAAGTAAAACGTTAGTGTTACTGTAACGACGTGCGCGCGCGCGCGGGAGGGGCGAGCGGAACTCGCATGTAACTCGTTCAATAACGCGTGGTGAATCGCTCAAATTTCTTATACATAATACAATTAGCTCCACTCGGTTCGAGAATGTGCCGAACGTGCCGCCTGAATAGAGAAGTTATCCCGCGTGACATACGATCCGTTTAGATACAACAAAAAGCCCGTTCTTTTTACTTCAGTTTCTTGCACGGTTCATTTTTCCTGTTTTTCCTTCTGCGTTAAAGAGAGGGGAAAAAAAGAAAAGATAAGCCGTGCAAGAAATTCAATTGAAAAGAACAGACTTAAGCTGCCATATGTAAATTCCGTATTAAAAAAAAAAAAAAAAATAAAGGTTCTCACATAGGAATTGCGATCTCGAAG